TTCACACTCAAGTAAGCCTAGAGAAAGAAATAATAGTAAACAAAAACGTAATAAGAAAAAAACTAAAAGTAATAGCAACTAGAATTTTATCTTGGCTCTAAATTCAATATTCTGGCAAATCTAGAAAAAGAAGAGAATAGAAGTTAGTAAACAAATAACAAAAAAAAAATAATTAAAAGTATAACTTTATATTTCTTAATTATGATTTACATTTTAGTGAACTAGAAAAAGTTAGTAGATAAGAAAGTGATAAGAAAACAAAAAAAATAAACCAAAACCTAAATTTTATCTAATTGTACCAGTACAGAATTCAACAGAAGGAAACAAAAGAAAATATAATGCTATCACACCCTCTTGTTACAGAAAGAAGCTAAAGATATTAGTAAATAAAAAAAAATTTAAAAGTCTTCTTTATAGTATCTAATACATTTTTAACCAATTAGATTATTATAAACATTAGACAGTATCTACTAAATATTATTTAATGTTCAAACATTTGATTGGTCAATTTACAGAAATGTCTGCTAGACATTGCCACTTTTGAACATAAATGCAAACATCTGGTCTAGTCCAGTTTAGTGATACAAATCAAAAATTAAATTAATTGATTAGTTGTAAAGTTGACAACTAATCGATTTGAATTTTATAAATCCAACTTAGTCGATTAATCGATTAGTCGACTAATCGATTAATCGATAATCAATTAATCGATTAGTCGATTGGTCAATTAATTGACTAGTCGTATCAACCAATCATATAAGAATATCAACCCGCTGTTTCAGTTGCTACTTTATGTATATTTTACTAAGTTTCGTTTATTATTTATTCAACTAATCGATTAGTTAGCCAATCGATTAGTCAACTAATTGATTAATTGATTAGTCGATTAGTCGATTAGTCAATTAGTCGATTAGTCGATTAATTGATTAGTTGAATAAAAACCAATTAATCGATTAGTTGAATAAAATGATCTATTAACTAATTGATTAAAAATTTTTTATCGATTTGTATCACTAGTCCAGTCTATGTCTGTGTTTGTATCTGTATGACAACACTGCCAATACTGTCATAAAGTATTAGAGTTATCAGTAATTAAAATATCTAGATATGAGATCAGTTAAATAATCTTAAAGATAAATATATATCTGTTAATACCATCAATAATAGGTTAAAGGTGTTGTAATATATTAATAATAGACCATATATTGTTTTGTAATTGTTGAAATCTAATATATATAGTAATTTTTAAAAGATCTAGATTATTAATACATTAGTGCTGAAGTTGTATATCCCAAATATTATAAATATTATATAAATAAAGATTAAGTATTGTGCTATTTAGAATAGATTTTGACAGATGAGATTTGTATTTAGCTACTATAAGATATTTGCTAAAATATTATTACAGGTTGTGCAAAGTAGAATGATGTTATGTATTCTATATTCTAGAGTAGGAATAATTGTATTGATAATGTAGATGATTTGTTTAACATGCAGATGCCCATTATTTTAAAATTTATGGTAGTTCAAATTTTTGAAATGTTAACCAAAGATTTGTCAGAAAAAGTTTACATTATTTTCAAATATTATCATATTAAATTTTATTTAAATATTTTAAATAGTTTTTTTTTTTTTTTTTTAATTTTCAAAGATGAGGCCATGCCTTTATCTTTATTAAAATCCAATTAAACTTCCTTACAAATAATTAAATAAAAAAATTAAATTATATCTATAAGACACTAAGACTAGAGACTCAGACAGAGCCCTTGCTAACTCAAGAGTTATAGGAGTTATCTGCGACCTAAACCTAATATTTTAAATAGTTAAAAAATAAACCAAAATATATTTATAGTAATAATTGCAAACAAATTTATCTGCGATTGCTTACATATTAAGGGATAATCACAAATTCATTTTCATTGTCATGAATTCTTAATAAATCATATTTTTACAAATCATTTATATTCTGTTCAAGTCATTTATATATAGAAATATTAGTAACTTGTTAAATAACAAATGGGGTCTTTGTCTTGAAAATCATGTTATAGAACATATGATTTATTATGTCCTATAACGTTATTTTCAAGGCAAAGACCCCAAATAGTACTTTGAATAGATTGTAAATATATGATAATTAAATCTCACTTTTATATTTAGGGAAGAAGATTTTTTTTATTATAAAAAATTTTTCGTCATATATTATAGGTATTTGTAAACTTGGAATTATCTTTTTAGATCTTAAAAGAAATTGAACATAGTACTGTATTTAAATTAAATTTGATTATATTTTTATAATGTTCAATACATTGTTCAAGCAATTCGATCTTATGTGAATAATGCTCATTTTTTACAATTGAACTGCATATCAGTTAATAGTATATGTAAATTACATACTTTTACTTTATGTACTGTATATTCAAGTTCTTCATATATAATTAGCCCTAGTAGTGTAAGGTTTGTTTAAATAGTAGGCAATATCAAGAATTCTAATTATGTATCGTAAACTCAAGTGTAATTGTTTATTTTCTTTGTATTGCTATGAAATAAAGTCAATTTAAAATTTTCTTTAAAATATTTGTTGACAAAACTTATCATGGAATAAAAGGGTATTCTTTGGTTGATATCTTGGGATAAAAATAAAATACAATTGCTTTAAATATAGTTATAAATTTATACGTATTTGTTTTCGCAATTACTTAGTTACATAAACTCTGTCACCATTTAAAATCTGAAATCAAGCATATTTCGAATCTACTCTTGATGATTATGTTTAGTTCATAATATTTATTGGTTTAGTGAAATTATCATTTTTAACATTGTTAGAATTTAAATAAATTCGAACATTCATTGATTTGACTTTAACGTAAGATGGATATAATGATAATATTGTTAAATGTATTTTGGATACTTTTTAATTTTAATAACCATGAAACCTGGTTCAAACTCTGCGTCTGAAATAAAGCCACTGAAATTATTATTTCAATTTCAAGCAGGTGGTAGCGGTAATTTCATATATCAAATCTTCATAAATATATGTTGAATATTGGATCCTTTTTTTTTTTTTTTGTTGGCCAAAGCCATCTAAGCCAAATAAGAATTTATTGTATCGAATTAGTCAATTAATTTCCTAACGCTACGTAAAAGATTTTTTGATTATTACTAGTGCTGTTATCTATACATTTTGTATTATCCATATTATCATCTTGAAACACTATAAATCTATAATGGTGTATTATCTTTTTTAAAAGAATAATATTGCTAAAGAAAACCTTAACATGTGAAGAAGAAATGTCACTTTCCTGATTGTTTATAAGAATTTGCTAATATACATCATAAATATTAGCATGAGCCACATACATTTTCTTAAATTATTCGCCACACAGCCCCAGCATTAAAACAAGCCTACCATATTATTTCGCGAATAAACGACTCGAAACCCCCAGTTATTGGTTTAAATATCATAAATTAAGCTCATTATTTTTTTCTTTTGGAGAGTTTGGGTGTATTACTTGCAAGACAATATAGTATTTTATTTTTATTAATAAAACCAACAAACTTCTCAAAAACGACACGTTCTTTTTAATAAAGATGAAAATTCCAATTCCGATTTTCAATTTAATCATATCCATATTTACAATCATGGTCTTCGCATCACCATTTGAAAAACGCAAAGCATTCAAAAGGCAAGAAGACACTGCTGCACTTTGTAAAATTGATGTAATTTATCCTCTTGAAAACCAATATATCCAGATTAATACAACATCTTGGGTTGTTTGGAATACTACTCCTCCTTGTGGTGATTTGACTCGTACGTGTCTTTAAAGTTAAGAGAGGTTTAAGTATTGTTATTTAACACTCACCTCTAATAAATAGATTATTGATCATCTTAATGAGATTGCTGATTGTTTTTTATACGCGTCTTTATATAATAACAGAAGATTCAATTGTTCAAATCATAATCTATGGTTGGAATAACGTAACATCACCACCATGGCCAGTCGTTTATACTGAAACAGCAGTAAGTACCATATCACTTAATAAATAGATCGTTAAATTTTGTCTTAATTTTTTTCTCAATTCAAAACTTGATAGTACTTTGGAAATGGCAGTGTCGAATTTGTGCCCGACGCATCATGGCAATACCAAAAAAGTTATGCCGCAATGGTCTTTCCGTTCTATAATTTGGGTATATCTGGAACTTTTCAAATTGGCCCTTGATGTTTAAATTCTTTAATTTCGTGCAATAAAGGATTAGTGTTCATGCACGTTTATTTTATTCATAAATATATTTTTTTTTGTACTTTTTTTTTTTTTAAAGTTCTTTACGCAATCTTGCATAAACACAAACCGATAGTTATAAATAATATTGTGCTCTAAATAAAATAAAAAAGAACTGCTTTTATAATTATAAGTAGAAAACTAGTTAGAAAACTAGTTAGAAAACTAAGTAGAAACTAAGTAGAAACCAAGTATGACGGTAAACTTCATAAATACATTTCTAATGATATTAGTTTAAACCCGATAAATGAATCTACTTTGTGCTAATTTCATTTCCTTTCGAAAAGGATTTCTCTAAATATCGGCAATTATAGGCTTTATGTCCTTTTTTTCCGCACTATTCAACGAAATATAAAGTTAAGAATCATAATGTATTTATTGTAATAATGATTTTACAAACATACCCGAAAACATATTATATCGAAATTATGCCGTCGAAATTGATACGGTCGAGGCGACCAACGTTGGCCTTGCTATAAATAAAATGTGAATATCTATATCTCATTGTTGTATCAATCAAATATTATTATTAAATAAGAATAACTGTACTGCGTAAGCGGCACCAAATTTTTGTTCCGGAATATCAAGTACAATTTGCTCTTCGGGTAGTTCAATTTTTGGACTAAATCACAATAGATTTAGCAGGTCTTTAAATCAATAAAAATACATATATATATATATATCGACGCGAATTTCAAGTTAAAATAGAGTTATCAATAATATTACTGAAATTCAGAACATGCCACACCCTTCGGACAATTTCCGGCAATAAACGATGCACATGCTGCTTTTTTCACATGTTTCTTTTTACAATTAGGTCCTAAGAAAAAATCATATCGATTTTAAATTTATTTCAATTTATTAACATAATAAAATATTTCAACTTTACCTTTTACACAAAGTCCACGTTCAAAGTCCTCACAAATCTCGATATTATAATCACCATGTGCGAAAACACAATTTGGACTCAAACACACACCGAATACAACATAATTAACACATTTTGGTAATTTTTGTAAATTATATTCATGTAAATATTCGCATTGATCTTCTAACATACAAAGACCGCGTAACCAATGTTTACAAACTATGGATTTTTTAATTGAATGAAGGTATCGACATGATGTACCACGCTTGCATATTCCGCGTAAGAAATCTTGGCATACTTCTTCTGAAGGATAACGATGTTTTGCTTGTTTTTTTTTTTTAAAAAAAAAAAATTGTATAATTTTACAAATTCATTGTTAAAAAAAAGAGAGAATATGATTGGCAATGATTGGATAAAATAATTTGTACTCTCTTTTTCCATACACATGACTAACAAATTAAGTACATTACATGATCTCGTTCAACACAAAAAAAATGCATATGCAAATAATAAAGATAATAATTACAATTTTTATTTAATCGAAGACCCAATTCATTTTTTATAAAATCTTCAAAATCAAATTTATACCCACTTGTATCTTGATTGAAGATCGTTCTTGAAACCATTTTTGGATATATGATGTGTTTCGATGATTTTTAAAGGGTTGACTTTACTTAAAAGATGAAATTCTTTTTATGCAATTTTTTTGGTGCGTGACTCTTATATGTCTTGAACGTAAAAATGACGTAGGTATTACACATTAATGATAATCAAAAGTGTGTATAGGTATCGTATCGGTATGTAAGTACACAGCAGATATAAAGCAGTAAAGATAAAGCGAATTTTAAGTGATTATTTTATCGTTATTCCATGCAAGTCAATAGTAGATTCTCGTGATATATGGGACCTTATCTCTTTTTTTGAAGAACGGTTAATTCATTGAATCGTTCGATCTGATGTGGTTATATACAGAAATATCTCTGAATCTTTTCATGCTCCGCTATAAAACAACAATCAAGGGGCGTGATTTCGAATCACGGCCCGCACTAGATTTAATTCGGGCCGTAATTACACCCAATTTATCGTGGTAAATTAGTAACTTGTTTTTTTTTTTGGCAACTTATGGTAACTTGCCATAAAATTTTATAAATTACAATAGTTTTACACCATTAAGCATAGTATTCCGCAAACTGCCTAGCGTCATCCTAAAAAGTTGCAAATCAAAGTTTCTAAGGTCTTTCTTGTAATTAAGCAAAACCATGGGTGACAGAGAACTTTTCTTGCTATTACGTCATCATGATGCCTCATTCTATGCGCGTAATTACGATTTTGATACATTTATAATAAAAATATCAAAAGCGTAGTTTCTGCATTTCCCGTCTTTAATGCCCTGTATGCGACCAGATCTCAGGGGTTAACGTTAATCGATAAAAAATTTAGCCTCCAGATTTCTGGTTCTAGTTAATGTATTTAAATTTTTTTATTATGAGTATACCGTAACTATATAGCGATGAAAGGTTTATTTATAGCATTGATAAACTTTTTCCTCTTCAACTACACCTGGTCTTTTAAAATTAAAATAATGATTACAATTACAATACTATATGGTGCGAACCACAATGTCACTAATGCTAATAATATGATTTCATAATATACGCCGCAGAATTAATCACAAGACCTCATATAACGCTACACTAAAATTTTTCTAAAAAAAACGCTACTACTGAAGATTTTAAGTTTTATAAAAACAATGCTTGACAGATATTATACAGAACTATAAAGCTAAGTATTATTTTTGCAAGATTTGGAATATTTTGTTGAGCAATTTTAGATATTTTTAAATACTGTATATAGTTTATACCATAATCTACTGCATAAATAAATTAATACGTATACTATCATCATAGATTTCACCATAAGTTTTGTTATATACCTATCTCTAGAAAATAATCATTACTATTTGACTCTAGAGATAAATTAATACGTATACTATCATAGATTTCACCATAGGTTTTGTTATATACCTACCCCTAGAAAATAATCGTTACTATTTGACTCCATAGATTACCGTAAATTCTCGAAATAGCGGGCATGGGCATTTGAATTACTACGTGTACTTTTCAAATTACTGTAATTAGCAAATATACATCATACTAGAATCTAAAAATTAGGATTTTAAATGTGCAAAATATATAATATTTCTATTAGAACATAATATTATCTGTGTTTTCAGACTTGAGTGAAGAGTTCTCAATAATAATCTGATTAAACGTTTTAAACTATTTTAGAATTCTATTAATATGTAAAATTCAAAAATAGTTAATTATTAAAAATAATAATAAAATTTCTTTATTCAAAATTTATAAAAGTATGGTTAAAAAAAACAAACTTTTTATTGTTTGTTAACTAGGGTTGGGGCATGGCAAATTTTTGAGGCATGCCCCTCTGTGCCTAGGGCATGCCCTCTATAGATATATATCATATATTATCATAATTAGCAATAGTAGGCTTTAATTCTAATTGGCCAATTTGATAATTGACCAATTATATAATAGC